CCAAGAGGACAGGACTAGAAATTAGCAGACTCGGTTCTAGTCCCACGTCTGTTACTAAGTAGCTCCTAATGCAAATCGCAGCCACTCTCTGGTCTCAGCTTCCTAATCTGGAAAGGGGAGTTGGGCCTGATGGTCTCAAAGCTTCCCCATCCCAGCCCTAAACTTGTATTATTCTAGAGGTACTTATTACTACCATGCGATTGTTAAGTAAATGCTTTCTCAAGTAAGCCAAAGACACAGTTCTCACTTCTCCATGAGGAAATCTATCAAAAAATATATACATATATATAATATATATACACAAACATAAATATCGATTTGAGACTCTGAAATATATTGTCACTTCTAAGCCCTTCACAAATAATAAAAATTTTACCTGTAGTAACATTTTCCAATCTGTACTTTCCACCACCAGTCCTTGTACTGAGAATGCTCTGTGGAAAGGGCAGCCAGATCCAAAGCCTTTGAAAACAATTCATTTTAGATTAGTATTTTCCTTTCTAACAATAAATAGTCAGAAAAATATTCATGAAATAAACCATATAATTAGCATCAATCAAAACGTGTATTAGAAATCAGACTGAAGTTCAAGTTGCTCATGTTTCCAGATGGCCCCACTAATTTTCCCTAATCAGTTCCAGACCAGAGAGCTAATAGCAGATGAGACAGAAACACTGATCAAAGAGAAGCAGATGTACAATATATCTGAATATAATTTTAATGTACAAGACATAAAATTGATATTAAAAATGCATAAATTTTGCCCTCATCACAACTTATCTACTGTCTGATGATTCAAAATGCCTCCAAACTCAGTGGCAGTCAAACCGTTGGTGTGTAAGCCAGACACAACTGCAGCCCCCACTTTAAAGACAGACGTAGAGAAATAGAGAAAGATCAAGTAAGCAGACAGAGAAAATGATTAGGAAATGGGATCACGAAGAAGAGTGAAAGGACTTGTGGTATTTGGGTAACTGCACTCTTCAACAACCATCATTCCATTTTTCTGATATCACCATAAATTTCAGTAATTCTAAGGGTCAGACTTCCCTTTATTGCAGACTGAAAAGGATCTTCTCTTCAATTGCTGTCATATTTTACATCTGTTTACTCTGTATCTTTAATCTCCTCTAGCTTGTTCCTTCTAGTGTTTATTCAAGACCAGAAAGAGATAACTAAATAGGAATTAGGATTTTATACAGATGAAGTGGAAACTATTTTTTGAAAAAGGGGAAAGCAAATCAGTCTTTATACAAATTTGAAGCTCAAATAAAGATCTGATGAATAGAAGCTGGGGTTATTAGTTAAAAGAGAATTCTGATCTTTTAGAATACTTATTATCTTTCTTTCAAGGTTGAAATTTTTTTATTCTTTAGCCAGTGTTAATATCCAACGTGATATCCAACAGCTTAAAGTCACTCTTAGATTTTCAGTTCTATTATCTCAAAATACATCCCAGATTATTGTCCACTTCTTAATTTAACTCTTTTCTGAAATGAATACCAGAAGAAGAGTTTCTTGAATCTCCTGCTGCAAAATTAATTACTTTTCCTTGTGTCCTCC